TTCGCAGGAAACAGGATGAAGGGGAATGGTATCGGAAGAGGGCCAGGCAAGGGAAATTTATCACAGGAAAATCAAATAAGTCAGGAAAAAGGGAGGGCAGGGCGCTGTATACGCGAGCGAAGGGCGAGGACGGTTGGCAGGGAATGCGAGGACTCAAAGGCCTGGGCCACCAGGGAGCAGGAAGTGGAAGGGCAGAGGACAGCGGCAGGGAGGGTGGCGAGCAACGGTACCGAGGAGATGGCCAGCGGCTCTCCACGCCGTGGGTCTTAATACTGCGTTGGAGGGGATGCCGATGACGCGCTGCTCCATTATGGTTTGGACTCTCCCGGGGCGCCCGGCGCCGGCTGCTAGGAGGAACGGTTGCTAGGAGGGCCCAGCTCGCGAGGGCGAGGTCGCACCCCGGCCTTGCAGGTTAGTCTCGGGTGGCAGAGGGAGGGAGGCGGGTACAGAGCGAGGAAACCCCTCGGGCACACGCGTGATAGGAAAATCTCCAGGGCTGCAGGGTGGCCAGGGAGCCCGGGGAGCGCTGTCCCGGCTTGAGCGGACCCACCAGCCCCCTCTAAATCACCGGAGATCCGCACCGGACCGCAGGCGCCGCTCGGAGGCGGAAGAGGGCTCCTCCCCGCAGCAGTCGGGGCTGCGGAGGCGAGGAGCGCCCTGAGGAGCAGCGGGCAGTGCCACGCCGCTTCCTGTCCTGTAAGGCCTTCTCTCCTGGCCCCTCTTGACTGGAGCTTCTTCTCAACTGTTCAAAACCCGACAGTTCCCCCGCCCTCACCCCATTTTAGAGTACATTATTTCATTTCATCCTCACCTCACAGCCCCGCAAAGCAGGCATTAGTCCCACTTTATGAGAAGCTTCCTTTAACAGCTGGGTTGACGCAGGATCACAGGCAGGGCAGAGCCAGAAGTTCAACCTAGATTAGACTTTCAAAATGTGGACTCAATTCTATCCTCAGTCCTCAACTTTCAAACCCATCATAACCTGATACACATGTATCTCTACTAACTACACTCACTAAACCCAGTGATCCAACTACCAAGGCTAGGGCGTTCTCCACTCAGTAAGCTCATCTCAGGGCCGCTGAGATAGCTCAGCGGACTAAGCGCCTACTAAGGCAAGCGCAGGGCGGGAGGGACGATCCCTGGCCCCACTGCCACACGGCTCCGGGCCTGGAATCCCAGCGCTGGGGAGGCTGAAAACAGGAGCTTCACTACGAGTCTGGGCTGCATAATAAGACCCTGTACAAAATACAGAAATGAAAAAAGAAAAAGCTCATCTTTCATTGCGGTATTGAATACTCCTCTTCAGTCGTGAGTGCTTTTCCTCCTTGGACCACTAGGATTGGAACTTGGGCTGCGCTTTGTACTGTTTCCTCATTATTTAGGACGGGGGTTATTAAAGTGCTATCTACCCTCCTAGGGTTGTAATTGAAATGTTCGGAACCACCACGTAGGACAGAAGCAAAACTCACAATTCAGGCTCTACCCATTTCTCTCCCCCACTAGCGCTTCATGCTCTGTGATAAACTTGTAGACCACTTTCAGAATATGGTCCCAATATATGCTAGCCATGCTGACTGAGATCCCTTTTGACAATCTGGTAAACCAACTTCAAGTGTCAGGTCGCAGCCGTGCTCCTAGGGCTAGGCCATCATGTCCCAAAGACCCTGTACCTGTCTTTATTGGAGGATGCGTTTTGACCAGGTGTTCCTTCTAATATTGAGATTTTGGGACAGCTCTCGCCGTGTAGTTCAGGCAGGCCTTGAACTCACTGTAGTATGTGCTGGTCTCTCAAGCGCTGGGATTACAACAGGCATGCACCACATCTGGCTTCTAATTTTAAACATTCCCAAATATGATACAAAGATTAGCACGACCCCTGTACAAGGATGACACAGATTCGTGCCATCCATATTTTTTTTTAAAGTGTGTAACAAACCATCTGGTCATCTTAAAACGCAAATTCTGATTCCACAGCAGAGTAAGACTTACCATTTCTTTTTCTTTTTGCTGTTCTGGGGATTGAACTCAGGACCTCACACATGGTAGGGAAGACATTTACCACCAGCCCAGGTTCTGTATTTCTAACAAGCTCTCATCATTGTGTGGGAGACCTCTTGAGGACCAGAGATAGAGGACTTCATCTAGTTTCCCCTAAAATATGGGAATTCTAAACTTTTTAAGGGCCAGCAGCAGGCTTAAAATGAGTTGAAACTAGGCAGCGAAGAGCAAAGTAAACAGAAGCTCTCGGAAGTGTAACAGATCAAATCTTTCCCTGTGCCTCATTTCATTTTCTTATTTTGGATGAACCTATAAAACTGGCTCAGCAGGCTAGGGACTTGGGACCTTAGAGACTGAAAAAATATATGAAGGTACAGAGAAGTCCAGAAACCCACACAAGGTGTGCAAACCGAAGGGAACATCTTGATGAAAAAATAGTTCCTAAGTCTCAAAAATAGAAGCAGCACGGGTCAGTGATTTCAAGGACTACCAATAAAACAGGTTGAACACGTAGGATAAACACAATGTCCTCTAAAGAAAATACTGCCGTGTACAGGATCTTTATTTTCAGGGTAACCTAAGTTTTAAAAGAAGGGTTTTCTCTTTGAGAAAGAGTTTAACAGTAACTCTGTGACAATTTAGAAAATTTCCCCTTAAAAAAAATAAAAAATAAAAAATTTCCCCTTTCCTAAATAGTCTAGGGAAAATACGTAATAGCTGAGGATAATCTTTATTTTTATTTTTTAAATATTTATTTATTTTTATTTATTACATTTATTTATTGTGTGTGTGTGTGGCCAGCTCAGCCCACTAGGGGGCGGGGCTGGCTGGCATGTGGTGCTGGGGGATCGAACCGCGGTCCCTGTGTTTTGCCAAGCTTGTTTCAAGTAGGTGCTTTAGACCACTGAGCCATCTCTCCAGCCCCTGAGGATAATCTTTAATAGGGACAATTTATTGAATTACCCAAAAGCAAACATGCTAGACTATATTACATAAAAAACTAATACAATTTTGCTACAAAATATGGTTGATAGTGGAAGCTGACATTTTCTAAATTTTTAATCTTTTATTTGGTACAGGGTCTGAGTACACAGCTCAGACTTTAGTGATCCTCCTGTCTCAGCCTCCCCAGCAGTAAGATTACAGGCATGCACCACCACGCCCATTTTCAGTGGCCGGCACAGTGCATTCCAGGACCAGCAGGCATGCAGTACAAGGGATCAAACCTGGGTCCCTGTGCTTGCCAGCAAGGCACTCAGACCACCAAGCTATCTCCCCTGACCTGGGAGTTGACATTTTAAAACGACAATGCCCAGATACACTCATGTTGTAGAGAAAGAAAATGGCACAAACCTTGCTCAGACCAGCTGATCTTGTAACTATTCGACTTTCCAATTTCCCATTAAGTCAAAATGCCTACTTTGTGACATCTGTAAGGATTACAGGGCCAGCAAGATAGTTCAGCGGACTAAGCACCTGCTTAGGCAAGAGCAGGGACCAGGATTCGATCCCCTGTACAACATGCCACTCCAGCTGGCTCAGCCCCGGGCATGCTGAGCCGGCCACCGAGACCAGGCATGGTGGCACACACCTATAATCCCAGCACTGGGAGGAGGATCAATCACTATAAATCCAAGATGGATGGTGAGACTCTGTACCAAATAAAAATGTGCCTCCCCCTTTACTACATTCTTGCCACTCCTATCTTCATATTAATTTCTATGAACCTCAAAGTCTTGAAACTAAAAAATACCACTGACCGCCCTCCTTTCATTGTATAGGTTTATAATTGATGTAACAGCATGGTTAACACCGAGCACTTATTGCAAAGAGCTGGGGCCATACTACCTTGGCCTCAGCGCATTGAAGCCTGCCCGTAAGGAAAGGCTCATGGCTGGACCTGGTGGCTCAGGCCTGTAATCCCAGCACTTGGGAGGGAGGCAGGCCAGCCTGGGTACACAGTGATGTCAAGGCCAAACCTGAATTACACAGCAAGACACTGTCTCAAAAACAGAAACGCCTGATGTCAGAGAACAGCAGAGTATATTATACCAATCTCACAAAGTAAGTGAGGACTGGGAAATAAGACTTTTTCCTTCATGTCACACAGTGCTACAATTACTCAAATGTGTACTTCTCACTTCTGCCTCAGCTGTCACTCCCAGTAAAATGAGTATCTACCTTAGTGATCACCTACACGCAGTAACATGCCCACAGGGTTAGCAGAGCTCAGGGCTTTCCCTGTTCTAAGCTGGAGCAGTAATCTGCCCAGCAATGCACAGTCCCATGAGAAAGCTGAAGCTTACAGGGCTACAGCAAGCAGGTAACAACTACACTCAATGTTTCTTTCATTATTTAAAAGGTGGCTTAACAAAAAGCCCTGATAACCTAACCACTTATGAGTAGCTTAAGAGAAACCAGTGACAGAAACCCAGCAAAATTCTGAACAGGGCTCAGGCGCTGCCCTCTATTCCTAATGCACTTTTGTGTAACATGTTGTAGGGTAGGCAAAACTGCCAATTCTCCTTCATGTTGATGAGAAAAAAGTAAAAAATGTACGAATTAAGAGGTAAAACCATGGTGAGCCTCCTGCAAACAAGCTGTGGATTGTATTTTTACCATACAAAACTCACTGCATGACTGAGGCTGATCAACACATGACAGAGGGGAAAAATCTATGAGTCATCTACCATGCTGTGACTCTACTCACAGGGGTTTTTTTTTTTTGGCAGAACCAGGGATTGAACTCAGCCCTTGCGCTTGCCAGGGAAGCACTTATTCCACTGAGCCATCTCCCTGGCCCCTACTCACAGGTTTTTAATCTTTCATTTAAGCCTTTGGAAGGAAGTTTCATCCTTATTCAAAAGCTAAATATAATCTAGAGTAGCAGAAAACCCATCTGGATTATACCAAGAAAAAAACAATTTCGCATTTTACCTTCAAACATTAGCCTTCCAATAGTTAATTAAAGGACTCAGATTCAGAGCAACAGTTGGGTAAATTGTAATTTTTTTATTGGAAAACAAATATACAACTTGGAATGGATTTGAGGCAAATTGTGCCATAAGCAGATTTTTTTTTTTTTTAAGTGGCTAAACAAAGTTTAAAAAGCAAGTAACAGTAAAAGAAAATGTTTCTGGTACAAGACCAGCAGTACAAAAAAATAGTGTACGAGTACCTGGATAATACACCCGTTTTGCAATAGTGCAACTTTGAAGTACATATTGTTGACTGTCCGCAGCCACGCAGTTACAGCTCCACACTTCAACAACAACATGCTGACATGTCCTAGGAAAACTACTTTAAAAAAGGCATAACCAGATGTTCCCTCATCTGACCAACTCCATCTAGGTTTAGATGTGCAGAAGGGCTTAGATATATCCAGAGTGAGCCACATGCAACGTGTTACTTGATCAATTTTCTAAAATAAGGTTTCAGGACAATGACAGTAAGATAAGGGAAGAAACCATGGAGGAATGAAGTCCTAATTACTATACATGCATTTTTTTTTGACAGTAGGGGGAAACCTTTTACAGATAAGTTACAAACAAAGAAAAGGCAAATAAACAAATTTGTACAAGAAATTTAACACATTCTGTACAACGTCTTCACTTTGCTGTCATCATTTGTACAAACTCTGAAAAAGAAAAAGAAAAGTAGTTAATGGCAAAAGTTGGACACAGGCAATACACTTTCAGAATTACTATGAAACACACAAAAAAATCTTATTTCTACTTACACAGGGAACTCATAAACTGCAACTATTCAGGATGAATAATGAATAAGCCCAATTCATGTTTCTGGATAAGCCAGGAGAAGCAGCAGCACTCATCGCTCCTGACTGCTGGGTTACTACCCAATGCGAGGACTTCAGTGCAACTAACTAGGCTTGCTAGGCACAGTGGTGCACACCTATAACCCCAAGACTCAAGAGGCAGAAGCAGAGGCAGGAGGACTGCTGTCAGAGTTTGAGGCTACTACGCTACATAGTGACTTCAAGCCCAGTCTGAACTACATAGTAAGATCCTGTCTCAAGAAAGAGATTAGCCTTAATTTTTAGAATCCAAGCATATGTGAACAGTTTCAGACTGAAACCCATTGTAGGAAAGAGAATCAGTCACATTCTGAACAGCAAGCCACAGGTTAGCAAATACTATGTCAGCAATCTAATTTTGAAAAGGAAATATCACCTGACCTGAGACACAGTCTAACAAGTACTTTTAACTTCAAATCTGAGCACAGAATAAAGGAGTAAGAGGTAAAGGCCTACCTTCATAGTTTACTTGGCCATCACCATCAATATCTGCTTCCCTGATCATTTCATCAACCTCTTCATCTGTTAACTTTTCTCCAAGGTTTGTCATCACATGGCGAAGCTCTGCTGCACTAATATAACCATTGCCATCCTAGAGAAAAGTTTAGTATGTCTAAAATTACAGTGGAAATGAAAACTTAAGAAATTAAACCTACGCTTGAGAAATACAAACTCCAGCAAATCTATAAACAGTTGATCTATAAAGTAAACGTCAACATATACGCAGGATGTCTATTCCCCAGCTCCAAAATCACAGTATCTCTTTTGCCAGAAAATTATTGCAATACACGTTATTAAGAAAGAAGTCTTGGGCTCAGTGGAATAAGCGCTTCCCTGGCAAGTGCAAGGAACTGAGTTCAATCCCTGGTTCCACAAAAAAAACACAACAAACATTTGGGCCAGCCAAATAAGTACCTCAGCGGATTAAAGCATCTGCTTAGACAGACACAGGGGCCAGGAGTTCAATACCCTGGCCTGCCACCAATGGAGACTGGGTGCACGCCTGTAATCCCAGCACTTGAGAGTCTGAAAACAGGATTACTGCGAGTCTGATCTATGCAGTGAGACCCTGTACGCCCTGTCCTAAATACAAAAAAAAGAAAAAAGTCTTAAGCTCATGCTGAATTCGTGCAGCTTTTGCACAGCGGTTGGGGATATGGCTCAGTGCTAAGAGCACCTGCCCTGCATATATAAGGCCCTGCGCTTTAGTCCAAGCAGCACATGCACGCCCCCACATCCCCACATTTAAAGCTTTTGCTTCACATTTAAATTATATTCTAAGGGGGGCCTTATGGGTTAGCTCCGTTGTTTAAGCACCTGCTCCGGGAAAACCTGGTCAGGCGAAGGGGACTGTGGTTCGATCCCCAGCTCCACATGCCTTACCAGACCTGCTCTTAAGGCAGCCTGAGCCAGCCCCCAAAAATCCTGAATTATGTTGTAAGTCATGAGAGGAGCAAGTCTCAAAAACTAGAGGGCCCTGATATGATTCCTTTCATCCTCAAAATTACAAAACATCCAGTTCTTTAATACCTACCTTATCAAATACACGGAATGCTTCTCTAATTTCTTCCTCACTGTCTGTGTCTTTCATTTTTCTTGCCATCATTGTCAGAAATTCAGGGAAGTCAATTGTACCGTTACCTGAAATCGTTCAGTTGAAGGATTAAGTAGGCAGTAAATACACCTCTTCTGCAAACCCTCCACTCCCTGAAAGAGGACTCACCGTCCGCATCTACTTCATTAATCATGTCCTGCAACTCTGCTTCTGTGGGATTCTGCCCCAGAGACCTCATTACAGTTCCCAGCTCCTTTGTTGTTATAGTTCCATCACCATCCTTGTCAAATAGTGAGAAAGCTTCTTTGAATTCTGTTTGAAAGATCACAATCCAAACGCATATGTTAACAATAAGACTTCCCAGATGAAATGTGCATAACAAATGACTCCTAACAGAAACAGTTATTGGAGATAACTAAGATGAGGTTTTGAAAAACATTTCGAGCATACCTGCCTAATCATACTAGTCAATGCTCTAAACTACCAATGAGTTTTACTAGTGTAATAATCTCACAGGGTAATTCAATCTAGTTCAGATAAAAGAAAAATTACTCTAGGTTTTAAAGAGGAAATGCCTCAAAAATCCCCAAATGTCTAGCTTCTCTATTCTTCCACTGAAGCCACTGTTTAATATATTTCAAAATTATGGATCTAACCTCAAGTCACCATAGAAAAATGACTTGATACTAAATCCTACCACAGAGTAATCATGTCATTTATTTGCATTATACTTAGTGTTAACCTCTAAGGCTAAATCTGTATCTGAATCAATCACCCATTATAATCAAGCCAAAACATTTTTACACTTGTCCAATCGTTTCCTTTTCAGGACAAGCAGGGCTATCACCAAATAATCTGTAAAGACTAACAACATGAGTCAGTCAAGATGTGAATGTAAGTTTTAGCTAAGTGCTACACTATTGGAACAAAGGAAATATAAATCTTTTTGAAAAAAATATTTATTTATTTGGTGCAGGGTCTCGCTATGCAGTTCTAAAATCTAGTGATTTTGGACAGTGATCCTCCTGTCTCAGCCTCCCCAGCACTAGAATTACCAGGGATGCGCTTAGACCATGGAGCTATCTCCCCAGCCGGGAAACGTGAACCTTCAAAACATGAAATTGAATGAATGTTTAGTATATTATTCCTTAAGGTCTTCTTGTGACATGTCATTCATTCTAATTCACTACCAAATCTGAGAAGATGATAGAGCCAACACTCCATACTATCTGGCTTTGCCATTTATTTTCAGATAGAAAAACTAAGTTAAAATTTAGAACTAGATTGTACACCAGTGCATTAATAGCAAAGCTATGATCTTTCCAAGAAGGTACTTTCTTCCCTTTTTTTTGTACTTAGGACAGTATCTACAAGGTGTACAGGGTCTCACTACGTAGATCAGATTCATAGTGATTCTCCTGTGTACAGCCTCCCAAGCACTGGGATTACAGGCACACGCCACCACACCCAGTCTCAACTGGTGTCTCAGTGGGGCCAGGGCTGGCACAGCAGGCCAGGGATTGAACCCTGGATAGGATTAGAACCTATCAGTAGGGGCTGGGGAGATAGCTCAGTTGAGTAAGCACTTCCCTGGCAAGCACAAGGGCCTGAGTTTAAGCCCCAGTTCCACCAAAAAAACAAAACAAAACAAAAAAACAACACCTATCAGTAAGCAAGTATCAAAGCAGTTCCAAAGTTCACTGGCCCATTAAACTTTCCTAACAAATCTATGTATTTGAAAACACAGTATCTAACACATGCTGAAGCATTTCCTCTAGCAGTTCAAGGTCATTCTTTCCTGTCTATCCCTGATTCAATTCATAATACCTTCCAGTTCCATTTCATATGACAGTTTTACCTTGGTACTCTGCTTTGAAATTTATAGCATTTGACAAATTTCAATGCGAAAATTTTATCTGCTACTCATCATGCTTGAGCATGCAAGTAGAACCTGTGGTGTCACTTGTGCCTCATGACTTACGATCTTTTCCAGCCAAAACAAGGCTTGATACTCACCACTTGTCACTCACCTCCCGGAACCAATTAACAATGAGTAGTACCATGAGAGCACTATGTTTTCAACTAATACTCTACTAACTTCACCCATTAACATATAACTATCTTTGACTACTAGCCTGAGACATTAGTTATATTTTCTTTTACATACCTGTCCTTACCTTCTCCAAATTATGGAGAAGGGTACGTCTTCAATCCATTAAAAACCACTATGGCATCTCTTCCACTGAGCATGCTAAATGCATCAATGACCTAGTTGTCCACTATCAAGTAAATTTTAGTATGTTGGAGTGTGCTGGGCCGGTGACCGAGTCTGGGCATGGTGGTGCATGCCTATAATCCCAGTGCCGGGGAAGCTGAAAACAGGAGAATCACTACGAGTCCGAGCTGCATAGTGAAACCCTGTACCAAATACACAAATGAAATGAAAGGGGGGTGGGGCAAAAGTAAGGGCTAGGGGTATATAGCACAGTACAAAGGCCCAGAAGTTTACCTTCCAGTACCTATGTAAATAACGAACACTATACGGCTCACAGGGCTACTTAGTACTTAGGACAATAAGGCAGGAGCACTGCTAAGCTCCAGGCCAGCCTGGGAAGCTTTGTGAGACCATGTCTCTAAAAAGAAGAAACAAAAAAGGGCTGGGATGTAGCTCAGTGCTAACCTGGTTCAACCTCCAGGACCCAGAGGAGTAAAAAATAAATACTGCTTGCTTCCTTTTTTATCTCTACAGCCAGTATTTGGTTCAAGGGCTAGTCATCTTTGGTCTAGTCTTTTTTTTTTTGGTGGAACTGGGGATTGAACTCAGGCCCTTGTGCTTGTCAGGGAAGCGCTTATTCCACCAAGCCATCATCCCGGCCCCCCTCATCTTTGGTCTAGACTATCACAATTACCTCCTATCTAGCTTAGTTCTTTAAAATTACACTCCTTGAGTCCCATTACCTTTTCAAACCTCCATGTTACCCTCTTTGGTCCAGAATATTTTAATTGTTTAGCTCTATTCAGATTAGGTATTACACTAGTTGGTAGAACCTAGCTTGCTGCGTTCAATTATGTGTAACATAGTTCCATTCAGATATTACTTATTTCAGAAAATATGATCTTAGTATCAGAATACTTGATTTTATGAAATATATAGGGCAATCTAGATCAAAAGCAGATCAGCAAGTTTCTCCCTACAAACAGAGGAGGATTTGGGTAAGACATTTTCATTTTACTAAGCTTTTTTTTTTTAAACAAGATGTACAAATTGCTTAGGAATACAAACTATCAAAGAGTTCAAACATACAGCACCAACCACTATTAACTAGGATAACAAAAACTTATTGGGACATGTTTACCTTTTGTGCTATAGCTCACCTTGCTACATAACACAGCAGACCACTGGGTACATAAATTGTAAATATCTAAAAGTGGCAATACTCTATGATTTAACTATGAGCTCAATTGTAGAAGATTCACAGTTTACATAGACATGTTCTAAATTTCAGTAAGTTTTAAAATCTAGTTGCCCTTAAAATATGTGAAGTGAAAAGCCAAAAATAAAACATTATCCATGCTATACCTATTTATGCATGAAAAGGAATGCTTAAAATTCAATTTATTCCAAATTTCAACCTGCACCTTACACCAAATACTGAAATACCTATTTTTAAAAAAACTCTTAAGAATCTCAATGCATTCACATTCACCTGCCTTTCAGAACTAATGCATAATTCTAAACACTAATTCTTATAAATGAAATACAAATCCAGAAATATAAATCCAGAAGTTAAAATGTAAACTCAACAAAGACAGCAGGTCCTAAATGTCAGACAGCTTTCCTCTGTGTATTTTTTTGAGTGTACAGGACTTCCCCCAAATTCATCCCAGTTATGCTGAAGCTGAAATTTTTAGAAAAGTCACACATATTTACTTATTTCTTGGACATTTTTCCTATGAGTCTCTCAAATGTCACACACCAACTGAGGCAAGGCAAATACGGGAAACAAATGAACTTGTAAGTTATGTCATACTCGCTGAAGTGCCCTTTAAAAGCAGGTGATAGACAATTCTATTGAACTATTTTTTTCCTAGATGAGGTTATTTGCTGCTATAACTTCAAAACAAACCTGTAGTTTATGTGATGATAAAAATAGCTTCAACAGTATACAAACACAAAAGATGTTTAAAGAGAAAAAAACTTGTCTTCAAAAAACACTGAAATACACTAAGTTTCAGAGAAAGGAACTTCAGGAAAGAGGCTGAAGAATTTGAAGGCTAAGGTAGTAGCATTTTTTTTTGTTTTTGTTTTTGTTTTTTTGGCGGAACTGGGGATTGAACTTAGGTCCTTGCGCTTGCCAGGGAAGTGCTTATTCCACTGAGCCATCTCCCTGGCCCCCTAAGGTAGTAGCATTATGACCTCTTTTTTTTACACCCACCTCAGAGAACAAACTGATCCATATTAAGAAACATTTATTGGGCTGGTGAGATAGCTCAGCACTCTAGCAGGGACCTCCCTTCGATCTCTGGCATCACACCCCCGGCCCCTGGGCAGGCTGAGCCAGCCACAAAGAAAAAAAAAATTTATTCTGTGCTTACTACGTGGCAGGCACCAGAGTGTAAGAACAGAGGTCACATAGCTCTTACTTTAGTTGCATATGGTTCATCTAAGTTTACTAAGGCCTTGTCCAAGGAATGGCTTTAAAGAAATCTGGTGCAGAAAAAGGCAGGTAGGGTGAGTTAAGAGCAGATTTTTCTGCGTCTTACTGGAAACCTAGTTTTATTTTATTTTTTTTTAATTTTATTTATTTATTTATTTATTTATTTTGTGTGGCCAGCTCAGCCCACCAGGGGGCGGGGCCGGCTGGCATGTGGTGCTGGGGGACCGAACCGCGGTCCCTGTGCTTTGCGTAGCTTGTTCTAAGTAGGTGCTTTAGACCACTGAGCCATCTCACCAGCCCCGAAACCTAGTTTTATGATGGAAAGAAGTTAATGAAAAAGAATTTATCTTAAAGACAAGATTCTGATGAAATATATGTATTCTTTACAAGATGCTATCAGATGTCTAGTCATTACTGGGCACCTTACGTAACTGAAAGGTATTCTTACTAATCGTGGCATACCCACAAATGTAGGTCAGCATACTTTTACTAACTAAAACAACAAAAAAAAAATCTCACTTAGGACAAAGTCCACCTCTTTTGGGTCCTCCTTTCCAAGATGACAAAAAAAGAAGGCAACGGTTGTGCCAAAAAGGGCCACAGTCATGTGTAGCCTATTCACTGCATGAACTGCACCCTGTGCATACCCATGGATAAGGCTGTCAAGTCTGTCAGTGGAGCGCTAGCCAAATAGCTCAGCGGATTAATGCACCTACAAGCAGGTTCAGGGGCCTGCATTTCAATCCCTGAGGTGCACTGAGATTGCAATTGAGACTGGGCGGGGTGGCACACACCTGTAATCCCAGCTCTTTCAAGGCTACTGTAAACAGGCAGCTCACTAGTCCAATCTAGTAGTGGAACCCTGAACACCCTGTAGACCCTTCCCTAAAATCGGGACCCAGGAGAGGCTGCCGCCTTCAGGGACATTTCTGAAGCGAGTGTCTTTAATGGTTACGTGTTTCCCAAGCTGTATGAGAAGCTGCATTACCATGTGAGTTGTGTGTGGTCAGAAATTCAGCTGATGAAGCCTGCAAGGACCGGAACACCTCCAACTCAATTTAGACCTGCTGGTGCTGCGCCACAACCTCCACCAAAGTCCATGTAAGGGGAGCTGGGTCTTAATGGACTGAAAAAAACTCTCTTGAGAAAGAAATACTAAATTGGATGTTATACTTAAAAAAAAAAAGATGCTGTCCTGTATGTAGCAACTTGTACTTAACTAGGCAAATTATACTTAAAAAAAAAAAAAAAAAAAAAAATGCTGTGCCAGCCCTGGTCCCACCCCTGGAAGGGGTTAAACCGAGGACAATCGAGACCGGGTTGTGCTGGCACACGCCTGTAATCCCAGCTCTTAGGAGGCTGTGAACAGGAGACTCACTGAGTTCAATCTAGTAGTGAGACCCTGAATACCCTGTAGACCCTCCCCTAAAATACAGAAAAAAAAAGAAAAAGAGAAAGAAAAAAAAAACTGGGTCCACAAGCTTTTAAATAAGACAAGTTGAGTATGGGGTGCACAGCTGAAATCCCAGCACTCAAGAGGCTGAGTGAGGAGGATTGCTGAGTTTGTGGCCAGCCTGGGCTACAGTGAGCCCATTTGCCAGCCTCTACTACATAATGAGGTTCTACCTCAAAAAACAAACAAAAATTTTAGAAAGTCACCTTGAGTAATACATTCTCTATTATAAAGTGATCATTCTGTGTTGTGTCCAGAGACAGTACCTGGCTAGAAATTAAATTCAAGTATATTACAAAAGGTCAGAATTTAAGACTGAATATTAAAACAGACCACACTAGTTCCTATTGTTACATTTCAAATGGTATACAAAAAAATTTAAAAAATGGTATAGGAGCTGGGCATGGTGGTGCACGGCTCTAATCCCAGCCTTCAGGAGGCTGAAGCACGAGGACTGCTCCAAGTTCCAGGTCAGCCTGGGCTACATGATTTCAGCAGAACAAAAAAGGTATCGGACATGCATGATATCATACAACTGCGATCCCAGCTACTGGGGAGGTCAAAGTAGAGCCAAACTTGGCAAGACCCTGTCTCAAAATAAGTAACAAGGTTGAAGACGTTCAGTAGCAAAGTATTTGCCTTCTATGTGTGAAGCTGTGGATTCAACTTTCAAGAACAAATGGATAAAGTACTACAGGTAAAACGTGTGAGACCCTGCATTGATCTTTAGCACTCTAAGCAAATAAAATGATGTAACTAAACAGTCTGCTTGACTGTTTGAACACAACATGATTTAAGAACTCTAGAAAGTAATTCCCAAGCTTAACCTGAATTATACTGTAAGTGGTTTTAACCTGTTTAAATTTGGTCCTTGAGGGCCAGGGATATAACTCAGCAAAATAAGCACCTGCCTGGCAAGCACAAGGTCCTGAGTTCAATCCCCAGTACCAAAAATAAATAAATAAATTTGGTCCTAAATTCAAATAGGTTTTACTTAATCATTTAATTAATATTTGTGGAGTCTACCCCCAAATTTCTGCATACTTATGGAGGAGGAAGACTTGCTTTAAATGAGCAACACATTAAGCTACAAAAACAGTACTTTTTCAAATACTTAAAACTTGTTCGCTGGGAAAAAAAATGACAGTTAAAATTACTTTGTGCTGGTGCTAGTAAAAGTCTAATGGAAGCAAAAGAACAGTCTGAAAAACATTCTGATATCTCAAAACACCAAAATAAAGAAAAAATTATTAATGTTTAAATGGTACTACATGAAAAAACAGGCCATCAGGTTTTATTTAATTTTACTCATTTTCATAGCAAACCAAAGGTAACAAAACGTACCAACCTTCATTCAACAGTTATGAATGCTTTTAAGTCAAAATTCAAAATTACTACAGTGACAATATTTGTGAAGTTTTTCTACAGAGAAACAGTCAGAGACTGAGTACTCTATGTGAAATGCTTAGAACCACAAAGTGCTCTAGATGTCAAAACATATGCAGTGAGACAACTTGAGGACAGGACTTAAGTCCAAAAGCAAAACTCATTTTCACCTGAAGGTAATTTTATGCACTAGTGCATCTCAATATTTCACTACCACTTATCAGTCATAGGAATTTCACTGATGGTGCCACATCAGCACTCAGAAAGTTTTACACCTTGGAGCATTTCAGATTAGGGAAATCCAGTTGTATATGCAATTCTAAACTTTTTTTTTTGGTGGAACCGGGGATTGAACTCAGGCCCTTGCGCTCGCCAGGGAAACGCTTATTCCACTGAGCCATCTCCCTGGCCCCTAAAGGCAGAAGGATTTTTTTGTTGTTGTTCCGAATGCCTTCAGGGCAGGTTTGGCTGGCTTGAGTTGTAGGGATCGGACCACAGCAAGCTGAGCCTGACTGCTTTGCTGAAGCAGCCACTTAAAAGAACTGAGCTAAGGGGCAGGCCCCCTGCAGTTCTAAACTTGAAATATTAAGTCAGCATAAATTCAATGTTTATTCTCTGACTGGACACTTCAAGTTACAATTGGCCCCCCCTTGTGAATACCAGTTACCAGTTACATCACTGACAAACTCATGATACATGTTTTCATTGTTCCAAATTTTATTATGGCATAATAAACTTACCATATTAATCACTGCTAGTGAATGGTTCAGCATATAAATATATTGTTACACTATTATCATAACTTTGTCATTTAAAACTGAACCTTTGTAGCCATTAATAACTCCCACTCCCCTTCTCAGTATTTTTATCTACTCTATACCTCACATATCTGCAATCATACAGTATTTGTCTTTTGTGGCTGGCTTATTTCACTTAGCATAGGGTGTGGTGACCCATGACTGTAATTCTAGCATTTGAGAAGCTGAGGCAGGAGGATTGCTGTAGGTCTTTGGCTACCCAGGGCTACACAGTGAGCTCATAACCAACCCGAACACAGCAAGACCCTGTCTCAGAAACAAAACTTAGTATAATGTCCTTATAGAAACCTCTGTGACTATTGGTGGGAATGTAAAATGGCATAGCCACAGTGGCTCCTCAAAAAAAAAGAAAAAGAAAAAAGCCCGTATAATCTAGGAAAAACTAACTCAGGGTATATATCCAAAATAACTCAAAACAGGGTCTCAGAGGTGTATTTGTACACTCATGTCCATAAAGACAAAATGTGGGAGCAACTTGGATGTTTGATGGATGACAAATCATAATGTATGTAAAATGCTGTACACACACAGCACTGGAATACAATTCTGCCTTTAAAAGGAAATTTTCAGGGGGCCTGCCCCTTGGCTCAGTTCTTTAAGTGGCTGCTTCAACAAAGCAGTCAGGGCTGGTGAGATGGCTCAGTGGTCTAAAGCACCTACTTAGAACAAGCTTAGCAAAGCACAGGGACCGCGGTTCAATCCCCCAGCACCACATGCCAGCTAGCCCCGCCCCCTGGTGGGCTGAGCTGGCCACACACATACACACACAAATAAATAAATAAATAAATAAAAAATTAAAAAAAAATTATAAAAAAAAATAAATAAATTAAAAAAAAAAAAAAAAAAAAACAAAGCAGTCAGGCTCAGCTTGCTGTGGTTCGATCCCCACAACTCAAGCCAGCCAAACCTGCCCTGAGGGCATCCGAAGCAAAAAAAAAAACCTTATAAAAGGAAATTTTCAGAATTCATGTTTTATAATAAGATAGTCTTCAAAAATTAAAAACTCATCACCACACCATGATCAAGTAAGACTAAAATATATATGTGTGTGTGTGTGTGTGTGTGTGTGTGTGTGTGTGTGTGTATGGGGGGGGGCTGGCTCAGCCTGCCCTGGGGTTGGGGCTGGTGCAGCATGTGGTGCTGGGGATGGAACCTCAGTCCCTGCCTTTGCCTAAGCAGGCACTTTAGACCGCTGAGCCATCTTGCTGACCAAATGTGTCTTTAATTAGCTTCCCCATGCATCTTTCACAGGCAAGTTCATAGTCTCATTTGCCAAACCAGGTTATATTACTGTTACATTATATCCATTTGCTACCAGTATAACACACATCAAATTCAATTATTTAGTACATGTATTTTATTTTCAGTCTGGCTACTCAATTTACAGTAAAAGCCAACAGGTATAATCTAACAGAGTATTTTCTCACCTGCAATCTGCTCTTCAGTCAGTTGGTCAGCCTACAAAGAAATCAAAAAAGCAGATTAACGATTTAGGAGTATGCAGACTAACAGTACAGAAACAAGTTTTAATACTATCAAGGTTCACAATTAAATGGTTAAACACATCATTCTCACATGACAGTAATTTCCCAAACCTAAGAGGTAGGGGAGAAGAAAACCAGCTCTCACTACTACTTTTCACCTGGCAGGCAAAGGCAGAGAAGAGTTCTGATCATCTGAACTACAGTTTTACTAAACGTTAAGGCCAGTCATCCATTTTTCTCTTGATATTTTAAACCTCAAAGTAAGCTTACAGTTTGCATTTTTATAGCATATGAAGAAGGGGCCCTTGGTTTTAAAAAAAAAAAAAAAAAATCAGGCTCAAAGTAAATTTGATTAGGATAAAGGAAAAAATTAAGAGCCAGAATTAAGCACTAAAATGTCATGACACACACCCACTATGTAATTTAAGTTTTTAATTCAGAGCATAATATGTAGATGATGTTTGCAAAATAGGCAGGTTCTTTTCTGACCCTTGTCTTTGGATGTGTTACTGCTTTATACATATATAAACAACTTTACATGGAACTAAGTGGGACTTTTTTTTCTTTGAGGCAGGGCCTCACTATGCAGTTCAGGATAGCCCTGTGCTCACTTTTGTAGCCCCCAGGCTGGTCTCAAACTCAGAATTCTCCTGGCTCAAGCTCCTAAGTGCTGGGATTACAGGCATGCCCATCACACCTGTTTTGGGACCAGGGTGGGCACCTGCATCTGGGATCCAGATGATGCCCAGGGATCCAGGACCCAGACTGCACAGCATGTGGGGCTAGGAATCAAACTTGGATTCTTGTGCTTGCCAGGTAGGTGTTTATGTCTTTGAGCTATCTTTCCAGCCCCTAAGTGGGACTTCCTGTCTAAAACCCTTATCAGTGTAGAGTCAAGTGTACCATGCTTAATCCATTCATTTTCTTTTTGGGGAAGAAAAATAGAATTAAGGTTTTTTTTAAAAAATTGCCTAGAAAAATATAAAATCTTAACATGGGATAAACAGCTTCACATTTTCTCTAGGGACAGCATGAAAAAATGTGAAAGGCACTAAAAGAAGTTTCTTTTATCACCTCACAACTGATTTGACCCATCATGTAAACTGAATGTTATTTTTTTAAAAAAAAAAAAGTTCAGAGGCTGCTAACTCCAATTAAGTTCAAATGCATAAGTGTCCAAGATACAAACTATTAAAAAAGGAAAAGACAGCTTCCGCCACAGCAACCATTGAAAGAGTAGCCATGGCCATGGGCCTCAACAAGGGCCACAAGGTGACTAAGAATGTGAGCAAACCAAGGCACAGCGGCCACCGCGGACATCTCACCAAACACACCAAGTTCGTGCGGGACATGATCCAGGTGTGCGGCTTTGCCCCCTACGAGCAGCGCGCCATGGAGCTGGCTCAAGGTCTCCAAGGACAAGCGCACCCTCAAGTTCATCAAGAAAAGGGTGGGGATGCACATCCGCGCCAAGAGGAAGCGTGAGGAGCTGAGCAACGTGCTGGCCACCATGAGGAAGGCAGCTGCCAAGAAGGACTGAGCCCCTCTGGAATAAAGCTTTGCAGAAAGTTCAAAAAAAAAAAAAGGAAAAGACAAACTACTACCCCTTTACAAATCCAAATCTACCACTAACAAATATATGGTGTAAAGTCAAATATGATTTTCCCTAGTAATAAGACACTCCAATGAATATAGTCAATTTTCACGTGGTTATAATAGAAGCTACAGAAAATTTACTTCAACTCTGACTGTATTTTGTAGGACTCCATTTCAGAAATAAGAGCAACATGGACAGTAGAAGGAAAAGCATGGTGTTCTGAGTCATGGCTGAGCTGATATCCTAGCTCTGCCACTTAACAGCTGTGTGACCTTGGAAATGTTACTCCACCTCTCACTGGCAACTTCATCTATAACACAGAATAACAATACCTAACTTGCACAGGCAGTTGGGCAGAGTTAAGCAAGAAGCTAAGTAAAGGGCTAGCCTAAAGAGCCAAATAGTACCTATAAACCAAAAAATGTACAATATTAAACAGCAACCTTACTAGCCCAATTTCCACTTGGAGGGTACGTACACTAAATTTCAAAGCCCTTTTCAGCAAACTTACCAGTTTCATGTTAATTTTTTTCACCAGAGAAAACAATTTGTACAAATTGAAACAAGGTGTGACCTAGGGATATGTGTGACAGGTGAAATTTAAGAATGAAAGTGTTAGGCTACATGTTTGGCAGGCACTGCTGTGGTATGTGTGAAAGCTAGGGAACAAGAGCTACATACAGGAAGGAAGACAGTGGGGGGTTTGTTCTCTCAACATACCGAAGGAAGACATGTACACAAACAATAACTAAGATATGAACTGTAAATGGAACAAGCCAAAATTTAAGGACCTCATGCCAACTTGTCCAGGGCTTTTATCTCCAGGCAAGCACAATCTTACAGTGAATTAAAAAATGAACTTCAAAGAATGATATGCAAGCACAAGCTTTCATGATCACATGAAAGCCCTTAACTCTGCCTGGAAGGTTTTTAAGATGTTTCCTGCAGGTACTATTACTCTCACGGAAGATTTTAAAATGAAACTTTTCTAGTAACATTCAGATTAAGACCTCCTTAGAACAAAAACATCAGACTTTTCCACTACCCTTTACTCTTGTTTTGAGACAGGTTTTCTCTCACAACACAGCTCAGGTTGGTCTCAAACTCGCATCAGATTCTCCTGCTGGGATTACAAGTGTGAGCCACCACACTCGGCCAGACTCTTTTACTACTCTCAACTTCTCCGACTCCAGGCAAATACATATATTTCTTTTATGAAAGTGCCAGTTTTCTTACAAAAATACTTTCGGGAAAACACAAGCTCATTAAGAGTGTTTTTCTCAGTAAAGCAAACATTAATTCACTAGAGAGATAACTAGTTCTTACTCTTATTTCTGCAACTGCTGATACAGTTCTTCCTGCTGCTCTTGTCATTCCAGAGAAGGCTCCCATACATTAGTATACTCTCAAGTTCCACCCTCACCTACTCAACTCCTATCAGCACTTTGAGGAACCATGGGTGACTTGTAAACATTGAGGCAACACCATGATACAGGAATGACCTGAAATGAATGCATTATATGTACCTATGAAGCATATCCTAAATGGCGCTACATAAATACAAAGTTTATGTAAACTGTTTTTTTAAAATCTTATGTTCTTTCCTGAATAAATGTATCACTCCATGGGCTTGAAAGGGAACACAAATTCTTTATCTGTTCCTGTCTGTTCATTCTACCAAAATGCTACATAAAACCAAAGTTTTGTGTATTTTTTTTTCTACAATTACAGAAGCTGGAATCTCCTTCACCTTTATCAAAATTGTTTAAATGATTACAACAGAATGAACAGACACTAATTGTGACAGAACAGCACTTACGATATCATGAAACAAAATAAAATGACCCCAAAAAATTAGGACCTTTATTAAAGACCTAAATTCTAAATGAATCTAGAACTTTTCGCATTACCACCCTGGTTTTGAGGTAGTGCCCAAGACCTATATAGGCACTCTTATACATTTCTGTACCGTAATAGTTTTGTTCATTAGTTTACTATAACTGTAATTTAAAATTTGAAAGCATTTTATGAAGTTAAGGGGGGGTGTAAATTTTAATCTGTTGTTTATCTAATAAATGCAGTTTATGTCCCGTACTGAGTAACTACTTTGAAGACACATAGTGTAGTAACTATTGCTATTTGGTTATGAAAATTTCATTCTTTTCATTACAAAACCCCTCTCCTCCCTTAAAAAATGTTAGTAAATTAACCTAACACCCCACTTTCCTACATTCACGACAAAATGTTAACTACAATAGCTTTTCACTGGACGACAAAACCATTGAGATACAAACTACAAATCTATTTTGAGTTAAGTCGATGAAAATGTATTAGGAAAAATTCATATTTGTCAACTTAAAATTTACTACACAACTAGGAGTGTTGCTTATATGCGTAAAACGTACATCCTCTTATCTTAAGAATCCAAATCTAGCCATGAATTCAGAAAATATTCAAAATATATCAAGATGAAAAAATCCACCAATCCTAAATGAACGCTAATTTTTTATCCAAGATGAACTCTCCCCACACCCACACAGGCTGGAGGTTTCACTTGGCAAGGATTGTCAAGTCCTGTTTAAGATGTCACCTTGCCTCCTGGACACACCCATCTCTGTAACCACTTGGCAGAAGGTACCATCACAAAAGTACTGTAGCACATTATCGTCAATTTTTTTCTAGGAAAGAACAGTTTACAGTATTAAAGTGATAGAAAATTACTTTCTAAAATTTCCTGCCCTCCCAGCACTCTTCCACCACTAAAGTATTTGACAGCCGTTATTGTATGTCAAGATCATTTAGCGACTTCAACAGGACTCATTTCCAGGGAACGGTGCGTATGGTGACGGCTCTTTCAACACTGCCCGTGAACACGGAAGGAGACCGCGTGGCCCTTGTCTCAGACCCCCATCCAACCGGTCCAGGGCTGTCACGCACGCAGGCCGGCGGTCACTCCCGGGCGCGCCCTGCTCAGCGGGAAATGGGAAACGCCTTTCATCCCGTACCTCGAGTAGACTGCTTTCCCTAAAAAGACGTGAGCTTCGAGGATGAGGGTCAATTCACTCTTTAAGCTCAATCCCTTCAAGGATAAAGCCAGTTTTATCTCCAAAAATGTTTTTACATCTCGGCCGGGTGGCGGCAGACGGCCCCGGAAGGACAGAAAGGCAAGACCGAAGTGGCCCGAAGGGGTGGGCAGCGCCGCGGCCCATCCCCCGCCCGGCCCGCGGGCGGCTCCGCAGTCCCGCAGGTGCCAGCGCAGCGGCTGGGCGCTAGCCGGGCCGAGCAGG